CAGAGTTATGGACAGATTGGTAGGAAATTATCAATGGCTGCTGTAATACATGTTGGTATCTTTAAAGTGGTTTCTCAGGAAAACAAAGATATGCAAGAAAGATCTAACAAGTAGTTACAGCCTAAGGATTGTGAAAAATAGCGGGTTACCTCATCAGTGACTCCTTTAGCTGAGGTGTGATGGCTGGAAGGAAGGCCAGGATTGAAAAGAAGGACCAAGAGACTAGCACCAGTGTCCAGCAATAGGCTCTTTACTTTTTCCCCTATAGTCATGATTACATGGGGCTCCTCCTTGAAGATAACAGTCTGGCCAGAGGGAGAAGGCAGAGTATGCCCTGGGCCCCTTCATTCCTATTGGACCAGCTGGTAGGAGGGGTCTGAGCTCTGGGCTTTCACTTCAGAGGGCAGACTGATCTCCATTGGTCACCTTTGCATTCAGAGCATGGTCCAGGGGGCTTCTTAGGGCTGTCCCTCTTGAGATGGACTGGCTTTTGACAGCAGTAGCAGATGAATGTAGTTGATGAGTTCTTCTTCGGGCCCCAAGAATCAGACTTAGGGTCTGTTTCTCTTAGTGCTGCAACAAAAGCAGCTGTTTTTCTCAGTCTCTTTGTTTTCTCTCCTTGGCCTCCTCCTCCTCATGGCTATAAAATACTGAGGAGGCAATTCTTACTAACATCTCAAGTAAGTTATCTGGGGCAAAAGCCATTTTTTGTAGTTTTTTTCTTCTATCTGGAGCTGACTGAGCAATAAACTTATCTGTAAGAATAGTTTGTCCCTCTACTGAACTGGGATCCAGGGAAGTATGCTTTATCAATGCCTCTTGTCTAAGAAAGCAGAGGGGTGTTCTCTCCAGCCTCACAGCACATTGGGATCCTGCAACCACTTAGTGTCCTCTCCCCAACCATCAACACAGGTGGCAGGAACATGTGGATGAAGTCCTCGGCCTGCTAGTCAGTCTCAGCACCCTCAGGTGCAAAGTGTCACAGGCAGGTAACCTAGACATGTACCTTCTGCATGAAGGTGGTTTTTCAAAATCTGAATATTGGGCACCCATGTAATCCATGAAGTCTCGGTGCAGACCTCTCTGGAGCTCCACTCACTCCTCCACCGCAGCCTGGACAGCTAGGGAAAGAATGGCCTCCAGGGGGTCTCCCTGGGTATTGCACAAGGTCCTCCTGGTTTCCAGCTCCCGAATGGCTCCCACCTCCCCAGTCAGCTTGACCTCTGAGTCGTCGGGTGTCGACTCATGTTCTACGAGTCCTTATTCATCAGGTGCTCTTCCACTGACTCCGGACATTTCTGGCTCTCAACAGCAGGGCCAAGAGCAACCCATTGTGTGGCATGTTTTCCCAGAGGTTTCTCCATGTCAGAATGGTTCATGCACGTCTCCAGGCGGGCCTGTTGTGTTGGTGCTTCTCTGTGGCATGGCGTTTCTTGACTGTGCTGTGGCGGCCGGCCTGAGGGCTGGGGCATGTCTCCACACTTCCTCCTGGGCACCTGTAGCTTGCCTTTCCAGGCGACCACGCAGCTGGGCGTGCCGAGCCCTGAAGGGCCCGCGCTCCCCAGCCGCGTGATCTCCCGGAATGGGCACCTGTGGCCTGTCTCAACATTTTTATTTTTCTTCCAGCAAAATATTTTATTTAAATCATTGGCCTTTTGTAATATAATTTGGAAGCTTGATTTTAATGACTCTTTCTTTGCTGTGGTGGTCAGGACTACTATGGGTGTTCTAGGTCTCTTTTGATTCCACAGGAATTTGGGGAGTATTTTTCTACTTCTCTGAAGAATGTTAATAGCATTTTGATGAAAGTTGTTTTAAATATAAATTTCATTATTGGGATTATGGCTATTTCAACAATATTGTTTCTGTCTATCCACCAATAGGATACCTTCTAATGTCTTCTTCAATCTCTGTTTTGAGAGGACAATAATTTTCATTATTGAGGTTTTTACTTCCTTGGTTATATTAATTGCAAGGTATTTAATTTTTTGAAGCAATTGTTACTGGAATTGTTTCCCTGATCTCTTTTTGGTGGATTCATTATTGATGTATAATAATGCTATTGATTCTTATATATTCAATTTGTATCTTCCACTTTCCTGGAAATATTTATTTATGTCTTCTGACATATGACAGTTATTCTAACAAGACTTAAAATAGACAATTGGAAAAATACTGATTTCTAACCATCAATCCTTCAAGAAATTAGTTATGACAAGAGTGTATGATAAAATCAGTGGAGAATAAGAGAGGGAAAATCTGTACTTACTACATTTTTTGCAGAAAAAAATCTGTTTCTCTTTATATATCTCTCTCCATCTCAGTCCCTCTTCATCTCTGTCTCTCTCTTTATCTCTGTTTCTGTCTCTTTCTCTTTCTCCTTCTCTCTCTATGTGTTATACACAGATCAGAAATTGAGAGACACATTACTGAATTTTATCTTATATTAAAGGATAAAACAATAACACAGCACTACATTTTTATAGTTCATACTCCATGTACTTAACTTACATATTTCCTACCTATCATTAGAATGATAGACATTGTAAATAATCTCCTTATTGTGAATTTTTTGTCACTTATTGATTCCCCACTGTTGTAGTCAGGGTTCACAAAGGAAACAATTTCATACAGGACACATAGTTTATTTTTTTCAGTACACATAATTTATGGAATTATTTTATAACCTTCACCCAAACAGTCAAATGCAAAAGAGTGCAGGAGATCTGTCCACACACTAGAGACCCACAGAGTCCAGCTGGGAGCCTGAATCCCATGGCAATGTCCTGCACAAGTCCTGCTGAAGTCCTAGAGTCGATAGCAATGATCTTCAGAGTCCACCTGGAGGCCTAGAGCCCATGACAATGTCTCATGCAAGCCTGGATCAACGATTGCACTGGGAAGGCCCAAAGGTCAGTGGTGAAAGCTGGAAAATCTATGCCAGTGGGATGAAAGAACTGTGCCAGAGGCTGAAGGATCTACCCTGGAGCCAGGAAGTAATGCTCACGATAATGACCAGAGCCCTCCCAAAAAGAACCACAGTCATCCTCAGTGACAGGGAAGACCCAAGCTCCTCCAATGATGAGAATAGCTAAGTTCATATCAGGAAAGCCAGCATGACAAGCTTCTCCAGGAGAATCAATAGCACCACCTCTTCCTCTCCAGTTCTCCTTTTTACGATGTTGGCAACAATCCTCAGGTGGGCCCTCCACACCCAGAATGCTGATTCTGTTCAGCTGGGTGTTACAGGTTGACCACCAGTTGTCAAACCATTACACACATCAATAATATAATGCTTGAAACTATATACATTCTTGTATATACATAAGGAATTTATCCAGGGCAGCATGTCTATTAGCAATACCCCTTTAAGTTTTTTGCTATCTGTTTTTTTAAAAGACTAAAAATAAGAAGTAATTTTACTTGTTATACTGTTTACTATATTTCCAATTATTCGGCATAATTCCTATGTATCTCATGTGAAAATCATTAATTTGATATTTATGTCATTGTTATGCTTCTTAAGAATTCAAAATCTGAATTCTTAAAATTTACAGTATATGTCATTCAGAATAACCACATTTCAAGTGTTCAAAAACAACCAGCTTTGTTTTGCTCAAATGTGTGGTTAGGTTTCATCTGCTGAAGAACAAAACATGGGTTGTCAGTGTATACCTCAGTTTTCTTTGAGTAATAGTAAATCTTATGTCTAAAAAATGTGATCATTGTATTCAGGTATACCTAAATTGTACCAGCAAACTAATTAAATTTTTAAAAAGGCAAATTAAATTTGGAGATAATTTTCTTATTTTTCATTAAGATAAAAGGACAGATGGCTGGATACCATGATGATAAAACTCCATTGATCCTGTCCAGTCCTGGGATTTTCTTGGGTCTAAAAAACAAACAAAACATGATGATGTTGTTTGAACCATAAAAGAACACAAAGCAACTTACCAGCAAAAGGATGCTGTGAGTGGCTTTGTGTTCAGGAGATAACTGGGAAGAGTGACATAGGCTGTGGACATGGTGGGTTCTTTGGCGGTGTCTGTAGAGGAGGTTCACCATGTACAGGCTGCTCCAGATCATGAGAACCACGAACAGAAGATCTCGAGTCAATGTCATACATAGAAATGATGCTGTAATGACATATCCATAGTGATTAACATGACAGTATGCTTGAGAAAACACAGAACCAACAGCAGTGAAATTCCTATTGGCTCTTACAGTTTCAATTATGGGGATGTAAGTGAGCATGTTAATGATCCAGAAGAATAGGAACAAGGGAAAAATCCACTTAGAAAGTTTAGATTTTACCCATTCCCACTGAGAATTACTGGGACTGATAGTGATGGCCTGAAATACACTCAGCAGAGAGGTAGTACAGATGGAAAGGCCCCGGGTAACTCTGTATGCATACAAAAATATTTTGCAACCAACATTGTCCAAAAACTGTCTTAATCCAAAGGAGGACATGATATCCGGTAGCAACCTGAACATGATGGTCAAAACATTGACCAGTGTCAGATGTGTGAAAATCAGATCTATGGGCTTTTTCAGATGAGGATTAATTAAGAAGGTGAACATATATAATATGAAGACCAATAAGTTCCCTATTAACCCAAGGAAAATTTCAGATATGAGGACAAATCCAAAAAGCTTGTCACCCAGAAACATTATCTGAATTGTACTTTAGATATTTTAGTTGGGTAAGCCGGGCCTCCAACAAAAGACAAGTAGATGTTTGAAATTAAAATTAATAATTTATGAATGAGTTTAGTGATTGACAGCTCAGGATGAAGGGAAGCTGATGAAATGTTCAGTTCTCCTGTGTTTCAAGCTCAGATGTGACATTTCCAGAGCCTGGACTCCAGGGATTCTTGACACCCTAGAATAAAGATGTGTTATGAAACAGAATTTAAATGATAACACTTTGGACTTTAGTATATTTGGACAATGTGAAAGAAAAAACTGCATTTTATTTTTGAATAATTTTCTTCAGCGTACTAAATTTGCATTTTACCTCTGAGTTTATGTTTCAGTTATCAGAACTATGTGTGGACCAATCACTTCATATTTATAATTCCTTTTAAGATTCTTACTGTATTAAATCATTCTTCCAAGTCAGTAATAATTTGCAACATTCATCAAACACAAATTACCCAATTGGGACCATTTTACCAATACACAATGAATCGCTACAGTTCATGCTTGGTGCTTAACATCCTATCTTGTGTAGGACAACCCCCACAATCAGGTATTTTCTGGTCCCACGTGCAATTCATTGCATGGTTGAAAAGCTCAATCTAGTGAAGTCTATATATCTTACAGGTATATACAAGTCCATTTGAAATTCACATTTTAGTTTCAAACTTTTTAGATGCTTACTATGAAAATGCAGTCAGTAGATTCACAAATACCATTAGAATGTGAATGATATAACATTCATTAATGTTGAAATTTAAATTAATAAGGTGATTTCCTCACCCACATATATTAGATTTTGGATTTATATAGCATATTATTCTCTGTGAAAATCATTCTACAGATTTAGTGGTTTTTGTCATCTAAAGCATTAGCTTTCTTTGCTGAACAAACCCCTACTTGATTCATCATTTTCTTCCGGTTTTTCTTTTCTCTATAAATTTTTCAAATTTTCTTTATGCTAACAAAAATAATTGTGAACTAAACTATACTATCAACTTTCCCTGCAACTCTATTCTCACTTATCCATTTTCTATCATATTCTCATAATTGAGTAAGAGAAGCACTCAAAATATTTATCAATCACTAATGACAGTGTCTGATTTACATATAACCTTTTCATCAGCAACTTTGTAGTTTGCTGTTCATTCATTTGAATTGTTTGAGATTGTGATCTTTTTGCTCTTTTTGAGACAGAGTTTCACTATGCAGTTCAGGCTGGCCTTGAACTCACTTTGTAGCTCTGGCTACCCTTGAATTCATGGTGATTCCCCTACCTCAGCCTCCAGAGTATGAATGAAAACATATTGTGGACACATAGACTATAACATGTAAAAGAGAGATAAAGGGAAATGACCTTAGGTAAGGAAATGATGGCTAATCACCTCTTAAAACTAGAATTCACATTTTCTCAAGCGCACACAGAGCATCTCCAGGAAAAGTCATGTATTAGTCTACAAAACACATAAAAAATTAAGAACATTAATATTCCAATAAATATAATTTCCAAGGGCTTTTAATTTAAAATTGTGAATCAATAACAAAAGGACTACCAGGCATGGTGGCACAGGCCTCTAATCCCAGCACACGAGGTGCTGAGACAGAAGGATCATTGTGAGTTCGAGACCAGCCTGGGGTACAAAGTGAGTTCAAGGTCAGCCTGAACTATATAGAATGACTCTGTCTCCTCACCACACCCCAAAGAGAAAGTAGTACTCAGATAAATAGAATCAGAAGTGGAAGAGGATCTGTCACATCTGAAAAAGCAAAAATGCAAAGCATCATAAAAAACACTGTGGTAAATTATAGTATGCCTTAAATAGGACAATGCAGAAGAAATGGATAAAGGCCTGAAAACATAAAACCTACCAAGACTGAGTCATGAAAAATTAGTAAATGGGAAGATCATGAATGAGAAACTAGACTGAAGCAGTAATTTAAATACTCAACAAAGTAAAGCCTGTCATCTAACAGATTCACAAATGAAATCATCAAACATTAAAGAGTAACCCATAATAATATTTGTCAGACTGTTTTTAAGTGCAGTTGTTTTATAAAACCAGAATTATCCACATTCCAAATCCATATAGAAAAATACAAGGAAAGAAAATTACACACTAACATGCCTTGATGAACATAGATGCAAAAATCCTCAACAAAAATAGCAAGAGACAGAATTGAATAGCATATTAAAATGTTCAGACACCATGATCAATCAAGTTGGGTTACCTCAGGAATGCAAGTCCATTTCAACATAATTAAATCTATAAAAGAGATACACTATTTCAACTGAATGAATGGAAAAAGTGAAATAAGAATCACAGTAGACCGCAGTGTTGAGTGAAATCAGACACACGAGCTTACATAACGCTACATATAATTACATATAATCTCTTATATGAGAAACCCAAATTATACAAAAGGAGCAAAATGAAAGATAGATAATAAGAAGTCAGGAGATAGATCTCACCCAAATGTGAAGGGGATCAAGGGACAGATGGAGGGAGTTAAGTGGGGAGGGAAAGGGAATGAACAAAGAATTAAGATGTGTTATGTGCATGTACCAAACTCCACTCAAGGAAGGTAAACATTACGTACTGTAAACGTGTAATAATAACACAACGAGGGTGAGGATTTATTGCCTGTGATCTCCAGGGCTTGGAGTAACAGCAGGCACAGTATAACTGCTCCAAGATATCCATTTCATGAACAAAGAAACAAATTAATGCTATATTCACAAAAGCCTCAATAGATACAAAAAATGCATTTGATAAAATTCAACATTCTTTCCTTTTGTAAAACCTCAAGAAATTTTCAGAATCCTTGACGAAGGTTAGATGAGCCCCAGTGCTGTACTTACGCAGAATCCCTTCTCCCTGCTCTCCCACACTGGCCTCTTAGCTCATTCACCAGCTGTAAAATATGGCAAAAGCAACCATTTACCGTGATGTGTAGAAGGTTATACCCAATGCCCTGTAGCATTTAAACAGACTTCTCAAACCGGCCTTGAATGAACATTCTGGTAAGAATTCAAATGAAGGAGAGATGTTTAAACAGATGACTCAAGCTCACATGTTTTTTCTGATGGGAAGAAAGGGTAATAATGTGACAAAGGAGGCGAATAAGTAGTGAAGAGGGTTCAGTTGGTTTAGTTACCACATAGGAGGGAAGCAAACTGAAAGAAGATGTACAGGCGTTGTGTAACAGCTCTCAAAAGCTTTGAAGTCTTACATACTAATGCGGAAAAGAAAAGTTTTGTACCAATAAACTTAATTAAAAATAAAAAAAGAAAAGTTTCTCTGCAAAAGATATAACTTGAGACAAACTTGAAGATGATAAGGAAGAAGTGAAATATAACTGTCCCTGCTGCCTAGGTAGGGAATGGCTACAAGTATTCATAAGATAGTGGCTGAAATCGTTCAACAAAGTGATTCTTTGTGTGTGTTAATCAGCTTTACATTCTTGAAGAATACACCACGGGCAAATAGCTCACAAAAAGTGAATATTTATTAGCTCACAAGTTTGAATGCTTCAAGTCCAATATAGACAGTAGGGACTCCATTTATTTGGCCTGTGGTGAGGATTACTTCATGGTGCTAGTGTATATAATAGCAAATAATCACATCTGAGAAGGAGAAAGAGGAGGATGAGGAGAAGGAGGAGAAGAGAGACAGAAGCAGAGACAGAGAGAAGGAAGGAAGGAAAGAAGGAAAGAGTGATGACAGGAAACTAAAAGGTAGGCTTTTGCAGAAAAAATGGGGACTAGGATGAGGGGCAAAGGGAAAGGTGGGTAAAGGATTGAAAATGATTAAGATACGTTAAACTCATATACTGACTGCACAAACAGAGGTCACCATTCTGTATTACTAACATGGTCTGGTAACAATAAAATAAATAAAAATCAAGGAATCACAAAAGTGACAGTGATACTTAAGGAGAGTAAAAACTAATGCAAAAGTACTCAGTCCTTCAAAACATCATTTGTGTAAATAACAAAAAATATTAGAATGGGGGGTGTGGTGGTGCATGCCGGCCCTCCCAGCACTTGGGAGGCTGGGGCAAGAGGATCACTATAAGTTAGAAGCCAGCTTGGACTACACAGTGAGTTCAAGGCCAGCCTGAACTACATAAAATGAGAGTCTGATTCGAACAAATAAATAATAATAATAATAAATATTTGGCAAAAATGGATTAATCTTAGTACCAAAACTACCATAAAAGCATGGTCATGTTAAAGGTTAAACACTGAAAGCTTTTCCATGGGATCAGATATAATTCAAAATATGTGCTATTAGTATTTCTATGCCTCACATTTCTTGGAGCAACTGGACTTTAAAGAACGAAAATTTTATAAAACTGGAAAGAAGGTAACATTATCAGCTCTTAATAACAGGTTATATAAGTTTTAGGAAACTTAAATTATTTTGGGGGCTGGGGATTTAGCTCAGCGGCAA